CCCCAAAACCCCAAAACCCCAAAACCCCTATTATTTTGGTTAAAATTGAAAATAAAGGGATGAAAAATGCGAATATTACGAATTTGAATACCTCTCAACCAAAAAGAGATTATCAAAAAAATGAAGCTGTGGAGTAACGACGAGTTGCAGAAGCTTAATGATTTAATGCAAGCCTCCACTAACAAGAGTGGTAGGATCACAGACTGCAAGTACATCTGTTCCCAATTCCCTGATCGAACAGATCATGCAGTGAGAACGCAGATCAAGGTGATTAAAAGTAGGCTTAGGAATCAGATTCCCATCAAAAGGAAAAGAAATTATAAAAGAAGGTTCGACAAAAAATGTAAACAACTGATTCACTGGATATTTGAGCTAGCTCATAGAAATATCGGGGAGGCATTGGAACTCCTAGACACAGATGATATAGCTCTTATCCAAGACAAACTTGACTATATCAAAGAGCAAACTTTGAACAGGAAACCAGCCTTTATGATTGTAGACACCAAGGATGAGGAAACAAAGGATGATTATTTTGATACAATTCCAGAGCTCAAGGTTAAAATTGATCAATCATCTTTTGATAACTTAATCATGGACTCTACCCCAAACATTGATAAGCCTCAAAAGGACTTCCCAGAAAGCATCAAAAGACTTGATGAAGAGTCTGCGGAAGCTGAAGGCGAGCTTTGTCAGATATTCGAATCTATTTTTGAAATCCAATAATGCGAGTGATGAGATCCTTGAATGGACAGAATCTGATGACTCGATCCTACTAGATGCATACTCAATGCATGCTCCTTGATGGGAAGATATTAACGAAGAGATTCCTGAATGTTTTAGAGAATCAAGTCAAGAGAGACTCCAATGGCTCCTAAAATGGGCAATAAAGTGCTATCAAGAGAACAAAATTCTCAATATTAAAGCTCTAGAGCATGAAATTGATCATCTAAAAGACTCTTTGGATAGTTTAAACATTGACCAAATGGATTTAGATGACCTATTAGAGTATTTCCCAATCCTAGAGTTTATCATTAACAATAAAGACACTGAACACATCCCCAAAGACAAAGAAGAGTCAAAACAAGACTACGATCTCCAAGTACCTGAGCTAAACAACGATTCTCAATTTCTTGATACTCTTTTTAAAGAAGAAACCCCCACTTCAAAGCCTATCTTAACAGAAGACTTTGGGGCCGAACTAGATAAAATTCTCTCTAGCTCAAACACTATTGACATGGAAGAAGAACCGGGAAGTCCTTAATCCCTCAAAAGCTACTTGTGAGCCTCCAAATCTCTACTTAAATCTCTATAATTATTAAAGAATATAACAAAATTCCAGTTTTAGTGCATAATTTTTAAATAGCTTTAGTCTTCTACACCATTCGGTAATATGAGGAAAAGATTTAGAAAATCAACTCATAAGTCAGCCTTAAGAATTTGTCAAATTGCTTGGAAGATCAGCAAGAAAATATGTTTGGAGAACTCAGAAATCCCTTGATTTTAGCAGGATTCTCATAATCCAACTTGGATGTCCTTACTTCAAATAGAGAATTCTATATTTAGGAATAAAATTGGTGGATTTCTGCATTAAGTAATATCCTTGATTTTCAATAATGGGTTAAATTTGAGGGGTTTTGGGGTTTTGGGGTTTTGGGG